ATAAGCAAAATCCCCAAGGAACCAAGGCTTACATGTGGGGCACTTTTCAAAATTATTCGACCTGAAGACATGTATAATTGTTTTTATTTACTTTTGTCAAAACCTATTTGTTGTTGAGAATTGAATCAAATATTTTACTTTGTCATAAATCATTTTGTATATTATTACATAAATTAATCTTAGTATGCCTTGGTACAAATATGTTTCTATAAAAATATGTATTCACATTTTCAAGAAAAATAGATACATATTTTTTCATATTGAAAATTTGTGACTTTGGAATTGAATTTAAATGGCTGGTCATAACATAGCTTTTCCGCTAGAAAAATTAAACTTTGACATTTGGAAAAGGCAAGCGCAATCATATCTGGTAATTAAAGGATGCTGGAAAGCCTGTGTTGATAATACTGCTGATGCTGATGATGAATGCCAGAGCTTTAGCCGAAATCATTGAAATGATTGAACCAGATAACTATGGCCATATTGCAACTGCAATTACCGCGAAAGATGCCTGGGGTGCATTGATGAACGCATACGAAGATACGGGCTTAACCAGGAAACTTGAATTGCTGAAGCAATTCGTAAATATCAAGTTGCAGAACTATGGACCCATTCAGGAATACGTCAATGATATCGTAATAGTGGCTCTTAAAGTTAAAAATGCCGGCTTGAACATTGACGATGAGTTGACAGCATCTTTAATGTTATGGTGTTTCTACACGATATGTATTTTACATATGTGCTGTCACTTTTTTACATATGGAAATCGAAGTCGTCATGTGAAACATACGGAAATTTCAATGTGTCAAAACGATATGCAATTACATATGTATTTTTTTCCGAATAGGACGCGCTCTATTTTCGTATGTGAAACATAAGGAAATCAGCTGTTTGAATGAAACACATTGTTGGAAGAAAATATTTCAATTGCAATTCAAAAAAAAAGGATGAAAAGGCAACAATTACAAATTATTATTTCGTTTGTAGGTGTTTAATGTTGATTTAAGAAAAAAATAAAAGTGTTTTTTTGTTTATAGGTTATGTCATATGTAAAATACATATGCCGATTTGAACACAAAAATAAATGTTTTGTGTACACTGCTAATTTTGACACACATAAGGAATTACATATGGATGAAAAAGTGACAGCACATATGTAAAATACATATCGTGTAAAAACACCATTAGCAGGATTAACGGACGATTTTAAACCGCTTGTGATGGCTGTGGAAAATACCAAGGAGAAATTGACGGTGGATAAGGTGAAAATGTTCTGCTTCAAGATGCGAAATTTGATCGAGCTTCTGAAAAAGAATCAGCATTGCAATCTAAACGTTTCAAGAAAGGTAAGAATCAAATCAAATGCTACAATTGTAGTGGACTAGGACACATTTCAAGAAATTGTCCCACCAAATCCCAGTCAAATGTAAATGGAGCTGCCAAGAGTTATGAAAAGAAATCGGATGTATTATTTACTTCAAGTGCTGATGCTAGCTCATGTGCAAAAGCTACAACTTCAGACTGCTCAAATGCGTGGTACGTTGATAGTGGAGCAAGCAACCATATGACGAATGAGAAGAACCGCATGTACTATATTCGTGATGCCGTAAATAAAAAGGTGATTATTGCGGATAAAACGAACTTTTTGGAGACTCCATTGGAGATGTCGACATTGAAGTTGGTTCTGGTAAACATAAGAAGTGTGTTACAATCAAAGACGTGGAATATGTTCCAGATTTGTGCACCAACTTACTTTCTGTTCGGCAAATGGCTAAAAATGGCAAAAAGACAACTTTTGAAGGTGACACATGCTGTATTTCTGGTAAAAATGTTATAGCAACGGCAAGTGCACAAAATCAATTGTACCGTTTAGATTGCAAAAACAACGAGGAAAGGAATAAGGCTTTTATCCTGAGAAACGATTTCAATCTATGGCATCGAAGGATGGGTCATATCTGTAATGCGAAATTAGGAGATGTCAAAAACGCAAATGTTGGCATTAATTTCGGCAAAGAATGTTTCGAACCATGGAAAGCAAACTCGAAGGGTGACCAGAGAAGTAGGTAATCGAGCCAAAGAATTATTGGAAATTGTTCATTCGGATGTGGTTGGTCCTTTAAAACAATGTTCGTTTTCGGGAGCACATTTTTTATTGACTTTTGTGGATGATTATTCAAGGAAATTGTTTGTTTATCCGATAAGGAAGATGTCAGATGTATTTTCGAAATTTATAGAATTCACGGCGTTATTGGAAAACCAATGTTCTAAGAAAATTAAAATCCTACGATCAGATAATGGGGGTGAGTACATTGGCAAACATTTTTCTGAATTTTTGGAAAAAATGGAATAATACATCAGAAAACATGTCCCTATACTTCCGAGCAAAATGGCGTAGCCGAGGGAATAAATAGGACGATTATAGAACGGGTAAGATGTATGCTTATTGACAGTGGATTAGACCAACGTTTAAAGCATATCAGAGTTTTTGGATGTCCAGCTATGGTTCATGTACCAAAACAACGAAGCTCTAAAATTGATCCGAAGTCATTAGAATGTATCATGGTTGGATACAGCTCGGAGGTTAAGGCGTATCGATTATTCGATCCAAGTGACAACAAAATAATAGTCAGCCGTGACGTGGTATTTCTCGAAAATAGCCATGCCAATACTCAAAGTTCATATTTCAATTCTTACTATCCATCGCTAATACAATATCAGGATGAAGACCAAACAGTGAATACTGCACCAAAGAATATTGAGTCAGAAGAATTGGGCATTAATAATGAAAATCAAAATGAGTCTCGTAGTGGTTCTGATACCGATAGTGAGTTTTTGGACTTAGAATGCCAAAATAACAACGGCTACTTGGACACAAATGATGAAGAATGGGAACCAAATCGGCAAATACCAATATCTGACAATATTCGAAGATCAGAAGATCTTCAGACCCTCAGAATATAAAACATGCAATGTCATCTGAAGATTCGGAAAATTGGAAAAAGGCAATGCAATTAGAAATTAGTTCCTTGAAAGCTAATAATACTTGGTCTTTGGTTGAACTTCCTGAAGGATGAAAAACGGTGAAGTCAAAATGGGTTTTTAAAACAAAGCAAGATTCCAATGGAAAAAACGTTGCGATGGAAAACAAGATTAGTCGCAAAGGGTTTCACACAGACTGAAGGTATAGATTATATGGAAACATTCTCTCCAGTTCGGTATGAGTCAATACGATATTTATCAGCCTTGGCAGTAAAATATGATATGATGATTCATCAGATGGATGCGGTTAGCGCTTACTTAAATGGGATTTTAAGAGAAACCATATTCATGGAACAACCCGAAGGCTTCCGTGATGGTTCTAACAAAATCTGCAAGCTTAACAAATCCATATATGGTTTGAAACAGTCTGGGAGAGTGTGGAACGAAACTATAAACAAGGAACTGGTCGATATGGGTTTTATTAGAGAAGTGGATCAATGCGTATATTCAAAGGTGACAGAAGAAAAAAAGATTTATATTACAATATACGTCGACGACGTTCTTATATTCTCCAATGACGTTAATGAAATAAATTCTGTTAAGAACGCTTTTTCGAATAAATTTAAAATGAAAGACATGGGTGAAGTTTCTACTGTGCTCGGTATGACAATATCTCGAGTTGGAGAAGAAATCAAAATTGATCAGTCTATGTATGTATCAGATGTTCTGACACGTTTCGGAATAAATGATTGTAATCCTGCTTCAACACCGATGGACTATAATAAAAAGTTATCCGAAACTATGTCCCCTGAAACCGAGGCTGAAAAGAAAAAAATGTCTAAAACTCCATATATGGAAGCTATTGGGTGCTTGTTGTATGCCGCACAGGTTTCGCGCCCTGATATATACTATGCTGTGAATGTCCTGAGCCGATTTGGATCTAATCCTGGTAGAGCACATTGGGAAGCTGTAAAAAGGATAATGCGTTATCTTAAAGGGACCATTGAACAAGGTCTCGTCTATAAGAAAAGTGCAGAAGAAGATATTACCGGTTATTGCGATGCAGATTGGACTGGAAATTTGGATGATCGTCATTCGACAACTGGCCACGTCTTCATTTTTCAATCAGCAGCAATATCCTGGTCTACGAAAAGTCAAAAAACTGTGGCACTATCTTCAACTGAAGCTGAGTTCATGGCAATTACAGCAGCTATACAGGAATCAGTTTGGTTAAAACGACTCGAAAAAGAACTCAATCCAAACAACAATGTCAATATGGTTTTGTACTGTAATAACAAAGGAGCTATACAAGTGGCTATAAATAACAAATATTCATCAAGGACGAAACATGTGGACATTAAAGCCAAATTTATTAGACAGAAAATTGATAACAATGAAATATCTCTGAAATATTTATCAACAAAAAAATGGTTGCAGATTTTTTTACCAAGGCAGTAACGCCACAAAAGTTGGAATATTTAAAAGACTTTTTGGCATAGATTAATTTTCAGTTTGTATCTTTTTGTAGTTACAATAATGGAATAGTAATATTTAATTCAGGTAGAGTGTTGAGAATTGAATCAAATATTGTACTTTGTCATAAATCACTTTGTATATTATTACATAAATCAATCTTAGTATGCCTTGGTATAAATATGTTTCTATAAAAATATGTATTCACATTTTCAGTTAGTTCAATAAACGAATTCAATTATAACATTTGGCAGCATGACAATTTACTTTCTATAACAACAATGTTTTTTTTTTTTTTTTTTGTAAAATGTTTATTGTTGTATCTGATGCATACACCTTATTAAATACGCCTTGGGTATAGTCTAAACGCGCTTTAATGATAGCAACGCGAATAGAGATCGAACAGCCTTAGTCTGAACATGGCAATAACGTTAATACCAACAAAATTACAACGCCGTACATAGATTGAAATTCGTTGACTGTGACAAATATCGCCGGCGTTCCCCTGCGGCTTCTTACTCTGGTATACATAATTTTTCAAGTTTTCAAAGTTAGTCTGTCGTTGTCGTTGAATGAATGTTGTGAATGTTGAAAAATTAAAAGAAGAGAAAAAAGATTTTTATTTTTATATATTTGAGTGCTAAATGAGAAAAATTTGTGCAAACATCAAAGAATATTCAACGTTTGGGGACATAACGATTTGTGCTTAATTTTATTTAACTGAATAACAATAAACGAAACGGCGGTAAGTTGCGAGTTGAGCAATGATTTTTCTCACTTTATTTTGGGAAATAGGAAGTGCAAATAACAATAAATTAAAAGAATATATATTAGGCAAGACTGACAACGCCCAATGAAATGAGGGACAATCTAAAAACAAAAGTTTCTTCCAATAACATAAACAACTATTATTGTGCAAATACTAAGATCAAAAGTGATGAGAAAAAAGGATACAAACTAAATGAAAAAAAAAATGTTGTTTTGAATACGATGAAAATGAATCTGGATCCCAACTTAAAAGCAACATCCATTCGTACATATATATATGTATGTACATTGGGCCATCGATTGATTTATCTGTACAATGAGTTCTGCTGCTCTCCTCTACTTCTCGCTCAGAAAATATACTCATTTTCGTTTCATTACTGTGTTGATGACATCATTTTAATCGGTCGATTCGGTTGTTCGCTCTTCACTCACACCGCACGACGGCGACGAGCAAAACAACAACAACAACTTGGTTGGTAAGTTGTCTGATTGTTTTAGCTTTCTGCTTACTTGCCGCATTAACCTACAGACAGAGAGAGAACAACAATCATCATCATCATTGACGTTGTCGTTGTTGTTTGCGGCCGTGTGTTTCTATCTTCTTCACCGCAGTCAGCTACAACATTATAGTATTGCCCGTTTGCCCCATCGAATCAATGTGTTCCGAGTGAAAAAGTTAATTTTACCTTATTTATTTGGCCAAAACACCAACAACAACACCAAAATAAATAACAAGTATACAACTTAAGTGAGAATATAAAAAAAACATATATTTTTCAAAGTAGCAACAACGTCAAGTCAAATCAAATCAAGTGCTAAATAATAAAGTGAGTGTGAGAGCGAGAATAACCATAATATACGCCGAGAGAGAGAGTATGTGTGCGTGATAGAGTGAGAGAGACAGCGAGGAGGAGGAAGAAAGTGTGTGAATAAACATTTAAAAAGTGATACCAAACCAGATACAATTGAAGAAGAAGAAGAAACAAAAATTGCTATCGATATTTAACAAAAGTGATCAAATGAAGGATATTTTATTCAATCCCAAAAAGAGGAATTTGAATCGTTATAAATTTGTATAAAATCAACTTCAACGATACATTTGTACACACAAAACACTTCTTGCCCCACGTATGAGCAAAGTAATTGAAAAACATACAAATCAAGTGAACATCAAAACCTAGAGAAAGTTGAGCTCATTGGGCGTAGTATTCTAAATTATATTGGTGTGCGTTTTTAGTGTTTATTTTTCGTCGTTCGTTAGTGATGGATTGATGTGGTTGTTGTTGTTGTTTGTACATTGTACAACACATTTCAATGATTATTCCATTGTGTTTGTAATTTATGTTGCCTACTAGTTAGATTGAATGTGCATGAATGGTGATGTTCATTATGAGTTGCTGCTGCTATTCACAATTTATTGGATTTTGAGATCATCATTCAAGTCTAGTTTTTTGTATACAGTATTTTGCAATTGCAATTAACAATGTTGCAATTAACATTAATGTGCAAAAAAAAAAAAAACTACATACGGCTTAAAATTGAACCTTTAAAATCGTAGAGAAATGCGGTATGTAGTATTGTGGAGATATGAAATTGTATCAGTCGATATTAAATAGAAATTGTAAAATAGGTATTCCAAATACATCTATTATTATTAATATATCAATGTAGATGAATTTATCTCTCGATAAACAATAATATGTAATTGGAATACATTTTTACAAAAGTAAAGTCCCGATAATTTGAATATGTCACTGTTTTGTCATTATGACATGAATTCGCGGTAATTAAACGATCGACAACGCCCAGTCTTTGCGACCAACTTTGCTCAGTCATTATTAGGACTTCAGAAGTTTTGTATTAGTATTTCTCTTTAAATAATATACTGTACTAAAAAGCAATATTGACTATTGTATATAATTTGTACCTTTAAAATAATTGTTCTATATAATTTGACATTGATCTAATCTTTCATTATTGTGGGGACCACATTATCGAGTTTGAAAATGGCACATTTGGTGTTCGCTTCTGGCTCCTCAAGAATAAGTTTGACCAGATGTCACCTTCGAAGTTTTCTGTCATCTAAATTTAGATGAGATACCCCGCAAATATTTCAGATATGCTAAAGTTCGAGTGCAATTGATACCTCGATTGGAAATCGCAAACGTATATTATAACAATCAATAAAAATGTTTTTATTATCGTAATAATGTTATATATTCCGAATTTCAATTTTTTTAAATAAAATTGCACCTTAATAAACGGGATATAACGAATGGACTGTAAATAAGCTGCGGTCAAAATAATAGCAGCGTAATGCATTGAAATATTCGTAATGAAGAATACCATATTCTTTTTTCTAAATCGCGTAATGTTTTCTAATTTAATTATAGTTAAAATGTTACCAATTGCTATCTATATTGTATTTATAACAAAAAGTTTTGTATTTTGAAATTAATGGGTCTCATGCATAAAAACGAGTAAAAGCGATGAGTTAAGTCAAGTAAGCAATTGCTCATAAGTTGAGTTAGATCGAACAGCAGCAGCTTTTGCTCAATTTCGTATGCATAAAAATTAGTTCAAACCAATTGCAATTACTTGAGTAGATTGAGATCAAACTTCTAATTGTTATTGAAGTGCTAACATGTCGTCAAGTGGAAGTGAATTAGAAGTTGTAGTAAATACTAATAATAAAATCGAAACTGACAATATATTTACATGTTTAGTTTGGCGGGCCCCCCTTTCTGCATTCGGACCTTTATTTTCTATAATTAGGGTGATTTTCTGAACGTAAGGTGTACTGTACAAATTGTTGGCAATTTTGATCGTCCCTGCATACGACAAGTACCTTTTACTCAAAAAATCGAGTCCGAGCTAAAGCTCAGTTTTATGCATGAGACCCATTGTGTTAAAAGGGGTATATTCTAGAAATGAGGTCGGTCAAAAAAATAGCAGCTGCAATGAGAACATAACATAAATCGCAGCTGCAATGAGAACATAACATAAATCCATATTAGGTTTTTTATGGATCTTAAGCATTGGCAACGAGGTAAAATGTATTATTTATCTGTATTTTAATACTTTGTTGCAAAAATTTTGGTCCGTAATACTGATTTACATCGGCGTTGCATTAAATCGACTAGGTTATTACATCTTTCCCATGGAATTTTTAGTCAAACTTCTTAAATGGAACTCCAAAACTCATTATTATTCTTGGGTTTAGCTAGGGCGGCCTTCTTTTTAAAATTGCACCATAAATTTGTAACTTGGTTTAGATCGGGTGATTGCGCGGGCCCTTCCATAATATCTATACTATTGTCCTGAAACAACTGTTTTGCTAATTGACTGGTTTGCTTTGGATCAATGTCCTGCTGAAATTTCCATTCTATATGTATTTCATATTCTGCATAAAGAACGATAATATGATGCAGCATTGAGCGGCATCTTTAAAATACAATATATTCATCCAACTTGGCAGTACGAGAAAAACGCTGAAGCATAATATGTGATCCACTATCATTGATCGTTTTAGGGATCATCATTTTTGTTCTATGGACTTCTCATATATTTTCCGGATCCAGTTTTACCATAAAAAATTATTTTGGAATCGTCCGATCACAACATGTTCCTCCGTTTTCCAAATATTGATTGTAGAGTGCGCTGCTATTATTTTGACCGCAACTGTATTACATTCTGTACTTTTCTTTTAAGCACGTATTTCCACTAATCTTTGCTGTCTACTTTTGTAGAATTATATTTATTATCCTGCAGCATATGTGAGAAAATTGTGAGAGGAGCTATTTACTGGTATAGACTATTTTTTGGCACTCTGATTTTTGATTGAAAACATAATAAAAATCCATGTTTAAAAATTAATTTTCGGGGTGTTGTAATTATGGCTTCACTTTTAACATATGAACATTTCTGGGAAGAGGTCAACATTAGTAGTAATCCTTAAAATAGTGTTGACGGGCTATTTGGGTACTATTTGTATTTTTTGTAATTGCAAAATGTAAAGAACCTATAAATAGTTTCTGGGGAGAATATCCCTTACAAAAAACTAAGGGAGATTCGAATCTATAGACTTCCCTCTCAGTGGACAATGCTAATAAATAGTTATTTTTATATTTAACAACAAACTGGGATTACGCCTGATTATTTTGAATTAACAAATTACTCTAAAATACTACAAAGTATTAAAATTAAATTGTGAATATTTTTATTTGAATTTTTTATTTTTAATGCCTTGGCTGTCGTGTAGATCGCTTTATTTTGAACTAGTTTGCAACTTTTCAGTAGAGGGTCAACTCTACAGAAAATTTGAAAATTTTTAGTTGTGCTAGTTTTTATGTTCAGGTGTTGCGATATGTATATAAAGGTACCGGGTCGTACTTTATATGTTGCTTTGTATTTCGCTTATTTTACAAAAATTTATTATCTGATCCGAACCAAATTGCTTTATGTTTTAAAAACTTATGTGTATCTCCCATATATATAGCATATATTAAACAATCTTTGTTATTTCGAGCATGAGGTCATGTTTTCACTTATGTTTGGTTTTAAATGCAATAAACTCTTTTATTATTTATTTGAAGCCTTAAGAGACAAAACACTTTGTTGACTTAAATATATTATTTCGTCGATTTTCTAAAATAAGTACATTGACATAATTAGTAATTCCCTGAAAATGTACACACATCATATTACGAGGCCAATGTATTTATGTTGTAACAATAATTAATAATTTAATGAAATCATTTCAGTCCTATCACGTCCGATTTCACTATACCATTACAGGGTATTCTATTTTGAAACTGTTTCCAATAGTATGCGTCATCCTATATTAAAGTTGTCATTTACATTTTGTCCCTTTGTACAACTTTTCGCCATTAGATGTCATTTAGAATTTGGGTCAATAGACAAATGGAAATCTCGAATATTTCTTTGCATGATTACCTCAAGGGTGAAAGGAGTGGC